CCCCAAAACCCCAAAACCCCAAAACCCCAAAACCCCAAAACCCCTTACTAAAATTATAAAATTGATCTTAAAAATATGCTTGACTTTATCTGGGGATTGATCTACAACCCATTCTGGCTCTTTGCATACATCTTCGGCATCTTGTCTGTAGGACAAATTGCATTCGAAGTAGCAAAGATGATTAACAGAGAGTTCCTTAGAACTCCTTTAAACCTCCCTGAGAGATATGGAAAAGGATCCTGGGCCCTCATTACAGGATCTACTAGCGAGATGGGATTCGAATTCTGCAGACAACTAGCTAAACAAGGGTTTAATATCGTCTTCATCAGCACAAGACTTGAGGTTCTTCAAGACTCTGCTCATAAACTTGAAATTGAGTACCCTCAAGTCAAAACAAAAATTATTGAACATGATTTTGCTAAAAAGAATACTGTTGATGACTACAAGCAACTCAAAAAGGATCTCAACGGGATAGATATTTCTATAATTGTTAACAATGCTGAAATCGTGACGTCAAAGTATTTTAAAGATATTACTCCTCAAGAGTCCCTCGATATGGTCAATGTCAACTGCACAAGCTGAACTATGCTCGTTCATCAGTTTATTAATGACTTACTAAAAAGAGAAAAGAGAAGTGCCATTATAAATGTAGGTAGCCTTGCAGGATATGCTCCAACAGGATTCCAAGGATGTTATAGCGGAACTCAAAGGATGCTTAAATTTTTCACATATGGGCTTCATGACAACTACAACAATAAGATAGATGTACTAGGGCTTAACCCAGGAACTCTTAAAACTAAAGAAAGTCAAGAAACTTCATGCTATTGTATCACCACCCCAGATGTTACTGTCAGAAACGGACTTAGAGATCTTGGATACGAGATTGAGACTACTGGATTTTACGCTCATACTATTAAAGGAGGATTGATATCTATCTTTTCTAGATATGCTACTCCCATTTTTGATGCTGTATCTAAAAACTGCATGGAGAAGAAGGCATTAGAACAATTCAGAAAAGACCATCTTGCGAAGAAGCAGTCTTAAATCCTATAATAGTCTCTACTTCAATATTCCCTCTATCAAAGGGGTTTTGGGGTTTTGGGGTTTTGGGGTTTTGGGGTTTTTGGGG